TTCAATGCCTGGCTTCCATATAGCTAACACTTACTGAATGCTTACTATGTACTAAGCATTCTTTAAGTGCTGCTTTAAATAAATTAAGTCACTTAGTGTTCATAAGAAACTCTGAGGTGAGTCCCAAGATGATACTCATTTTAAAATGAGGGGACAAAAATACAGAATAACTAACTTAGCCAAGGTTTCCCAGCTAATAAGTAGCAGATGGCTATTATTTATATGGCTTGGACTTTCTGAGCCTACAGAATAGGCATCCTGACGAATATGTGCCTTGAAGGAAAAAAAAAAAAAACATTGCATTCTAAATATGTTGGGAAACAGATGAACTTCTATTGCATCTTTAAGAGAACATCAGAGTTACTACACTCTAAGAATCAGCTATCAAGGGAAAGGTGATTCTGTCCACATGGTTTGGAGGAAAAAAGTGCATTTAAATGAAATAATATTAAATACTAATATGAAGAAAAATAACAATAACTACTAAATTCTATTGTGGGTTTATCATCTGTCGGGCACTCTGCTAAGTAATTTTATGGGTCTTTCTATTCAATTCTCAGATCAATACAGAGGAAGTAAGGCAGATACTCAGCTGCCAGCCCCAAAGTCATGGCTTCCCCTTCCTCTTTGATGTCTGAGCCCCAGTGTTTCGTACTGGGTTTACCACCCTCTTACCAAGAGCTCAGAGAAGTCTATTCTATTCCCAGCCCCAGGGGAACAATCATGATTGGACTCTGTCAATAATCTCCTTTGCCAGCTGTTGATTCCTTGTAGGCATAATCTTCCTTGAGAAGCTGTAAACGAGGAGAAATAAGGGGATAATCTATTGGGAATTTCTGGGAAAGACTTCCCTCACTAGTGAAAAGAAGCACCAGGAGGAAGTGGCCTAGCCATTCCAGCAACTGAAGCAGTCATCTTGTAACGACTAGTTAGAGGCCTAAGCACCAAGCCAAATTGCTAAGCATGGCAGAGAAAAGAAAAGAAAGATAGAAGGGTGGGTTCCCCAGTGGCAGTATTAAGTAATGAATTAACCCTGAAAATGCCTTCCCTCCACAATTCTTGTTCTATGAAACAAGAATATAAACCAACTAGGTTCTTTTATTACCTCCATTTAGAGCTGAAGAAACTGAGGCACTGAGTGTGGAAACTGAGATTCAAACCTGGAGCATCAAAACACCACCACCACCAGCCCTTCCTAAACCTTCCTGCTTCCCCTTGCCAGCCCCAAAGCCCACTTCTCTTTCTTCACACCCAGTAAGGAACACTTCAGTAGTGACTTTTTGATCAACCATTGTGTTACGTGAACACCCAAGTGATGTTCAGATTAGCAGACCACAAAATGCCTTCAGAAATTTTTTGTTCTCTTCAAATTAGAATGTGAGACCTAAAGTCCTGAGATAAGATAATGGCATTCATAAGAAGTAACTAAAATAGATACGTAGAGAACTGGGTGGCTTCTCCATAGGTATCTTCCACTGCATCCTTTCCCCACACTCTCCAGATCCTTCCAAGCAAGGGTGCTTGCCTTTTCCCAAACACAGGACACATTCCTCTCATCCCTGCTCAGTTATTTCCTCTGTCACTGCTCTCCCCCACAACATGCCAGTCTAAATCTTACTGCTTCTGTAGGGCCCAGTTTTAACACCTCCACTTCTCAAGTGCCCTCATGACAGTTGGTCTCCGTGTTCACTATATCACTATAGTATGTTATCTTATTACCCCACTTTAAAGTATTTTAATTTTTATATATCAGTATGCATCCGGCTTCCTTGCTCACACAATAAGTGGAATGAAGCAAACCTGTGTTTTATTCATGACTATACTCTCCACTTGTCTACCAAGTGTTTTCTACTAGGTATCTCAAAGAAAGATTTAAACTTTTAAAAAAATTGACATTCTGAATCCTATAGAATTAATGGAGTACCTTTATGAATAAGTACACAGCCTATTTTTCCTAAAACAAAGCCATTCATTCTTCTCTCTCTCTCTCTCTCTCTTTTTATTTTTATTTTTTTATGAAATCTCTACACCCAACATGGGGCTTGAACTCATGACCCTGATATCAAGAGTCACACACTCTTCAGACTGAGCCAGCTGGGTGCCTCTGTTCATTCTTTTCTAGTTAACATTTTAAAATTGTTATACTTTTGTTTTAATTAGAGATACCAAAAGAGAATAATTTTATGAACTATTACTGTATGTGAAATTAGGATTTTCAAAGGACTTTCTCAGGGTTTATGCTTCCTTTTTTCTGCCTTTCCTTCTCCCTCATCCCTCTATTTAGTGAAACAGAGAGAGGATACAGGTCCTGGGTGGTGAGTAGAGAAAAGAAGTCCTTTAAAGGCTATGCGGGGCAGGTGGAAGAAATCAATTCCGTCATGATAGTAACTCTTTGACAGCACAGAGAGGTTGATAGAAGTACCCAGCTGTCAAAGAAAACCTTTCAAGGAGCAGGGACCCTGATTTCAAACCTGGACAGATAAAGCTTTATAAGTTTAATAAAGGAGGCTAAGTGAAAGACCCAGATCACTATAGTTAATATGAGCCACATAGAAAGTAAAAAGAACATAGCAACTGATGATGACTACAGCCAGTTTGACCATAAAAAGCAACTTTTATTTTTTAAGATTTTATTTATTTATTTGAGAGCGAGAGCGAGAGAGAGAGAGAGAGAGATAGCAACAGAGATATTGAGAGAGAGCTTGAGAGAGGAGGAGAGGGAAAAGCAGTCCCTGTTGAGCAGGGAGCCCGACACAAAGCTCAATCCCAGGACTCTGGGATCATGACATGAGCAGAAGGCAGTCACTAACTGACGGAGCCACCTAGGTGCCCCCAAAAGCAACTTTTCCAAAAGCAATGACCATCAGTCAGGTCAGCTTTATAAGTCACACTGAGTTCACTTATGTTTTCACAGACTGCAGCACATCTGTATTTGTGAAGACCATTTCTCCTGGAGTTTGGTGTCCAGTTGCTTCCATATTCCTCTGCTGCTGTGGTTTAATCCTATGACTGGCTTACTTAGAGAACTAGAGTGCAAGAGGGAGGGAACCAAAACTCATACATACCCTTTGTGTGTCAGAGGTCATGTACTCCCCAGCACAACCCCATGATGTGTCATTGGCTCCATTTTACAGGAGGGCTTGTTTGACCTGTGAGTTCGTGTGCTTTCATCACACCATGAATGGTGTGCTTGAAGCACCAGGGCCTCTGGGTAGAGGTGGCAGACACTTAGTCGCCAATGGAAGTAGGAAGTATGATGAATATTCATTTGCCACAAGAGTGATGTTGTATATAAATGACTGAGAAGTTTACAGCCCTCCATTTGCTACTTGAAAAAGAGCAAAGAAAGCAATTCTTACCACATGTATGTTCCTTATGGCAAAACCAGTAACTGGCCAATGCTAAAACTATTTTTTTTCTCAAGTCAACAAACCAATGTAGTTGGGATGGATACCATTAGCCTTAGGATTTTGAGAAAATTCAAAGATGCAAATTCAAAGATTGCCTTTGGTCAATTTTTGCTTTTTAATAACTCCTAAAGGATGATATTAATCAATTACAAGGGTGACCACTAAGAACAAAGGGAAAGCCTTCAAGACCTATGCTAAATGGGATAGGCTTACGGAACCTAAAATAAACCCATCACTTAAGAATAACCTATGGGAAATTCAGTCATTACTTCTATAAGGGTGTGATGTGAAGAAATTATAATTACTTCATTTGCTATAAATCTCTGAGGTGGGAAATAGGCAATATGAATAAAAGAAAACAGTGTGTGTGATCCATCTAAAGCCTTTGACAATACTGAGAGCAAATGAATCAAGATGGAATTGGGGGAGGTCTATTGGGGCTTAGGAAAACTAGAATTGGTTATATTCAGTTAAATCACCAAGGAAATCAGGGACTCAGAATGAAAGTATGACAAGATCTCAAAAATTACCTAATTCAATCCCTCATCTTATAAACTTGGAAACTATAATCCAGGGATGGTTCTAAAACACCGGATTCTTGACACCCAGGCCAGCATTCTTCTCCTACTTTATGATATTCTATAACACATCAGTTAGAATCAGTTATTAAATATATATAACATATTATCCTATATAACTACTCTCCACAAGTAGTTATAGATTAGAACAAAAATTACCTCAAGCTTCCCCAGGGCCAGATCAGAGCTGCCTTCAACATGCAAATATGAATTACAAATACCGAAATGAGGTTATTCGATGGGAACTCTAGAGTAAGTTCATCAAAAAGTATACAGAAAATATGCCAGGAGACAGAATTCTAATCTCTAAATAAAATATTAGTCCCTCTGCAACAGGAATATAATGTACAATTTTATTTATTCTTGTTCAGGAAAAAATAAAACACACCTAGAGAATTTTGGAGAGCATGTGTAAACTCAAGTACACTGATTCTCATTATTCTAATTCCTCACTAGAGGAGGAGGAGGACTCCCTCGAATTGAGTGAGGTGAGTTAAGAACAAATAAAATGGAGTATTACTTTACTCAGAAAATAATAAATACACAGAGCTCATTACCACAAAAGAAGTACAGGCAAGGAACATAAATGATTCATAAAGATTTGACCAAATTTATGAATGTCAGAGTCATAAATGGCTACTGAGAGTACATCTAACCTTTAAGGTTAATGTCAGAGAGGAAAACCATGTCCTTTCCTGGCAAATCCCTTGAGGTCTCTGTTGTCAACACAGTACTGGGTTGGAGGGAACACCGGGCTTGCCTGGTAGAGCAGTTCTTAAGTTCCTTTTAACTAATAGGTATCTGGGCCAGATGCACATTCATCTCTTCAATGGAAGCATAAATCAAAAACGTTCCATTTTGAACAGGAAGTTTGATGAAATTCTGCTCTTGGATACTATTATTTATGTAATCATAGTTGAACAAGAGGAAAAATTTTAGTTTTGGAATCAGAAGAAGGCAAGGCTGGAATCCAGGCCACACCACTCAACAGGCTCTGGTGCAAGTCACTTACTTTTCTGCGCTCAGATTTCTCACATGTGAAATGGGAAGAACCATATCCGTACTACAGGAATTTTGCTGAGACTCGTGTAAGAAAACACTCTGTATGCTGAAAAACAAAGAATGCATATTATTATGTTTCAAGCAAATCTCAGTCACTTTGGAAGAACGTCTATCAGATACAGGAAGACAGAGTGATCCTTGCTTTATTTTTCTGGAGAGAATTGACAAGATTATTCAAAAAGTACTCAAGACCCAAGTCAGATGTCAACTCCCCAAGGCAGAGATTATTTCTCCTCTAAATTTCCAGAAACCTCAAGTTATGTCTTAAAGCATTTGTATTACTATTTATCAGATTACTCACCTTCTTCATTGAACTGTGAGCTCCTCTAAGACAGATGCTTCATTTTATTCATCTTTGTATCCTTAACGTTTATCATAGTTCCTGGTATATAGCTGGCACTCAGTAGATTTTGAATAAATTACTTAATGTGTGGGTGATCTTCCTGTCTTCACTTTACAACTCCAAGGTAAAGAAATGATTCAACTATAAAATGCAATAATTTAAAAGTGATTAAGGCACAAAATCAAGACTGATCCTCAGCTTTCCTAATTTCTAGACCTCAGTCTCTAAGTCCCTAACTTGGGAATAATAGCATCTCGGTCCTATTTGAATAAAAAATGAAAGGCAAAACATGGATCACTGGGTGCTGAAATATTTACCAATTGTACATACTTGAAATCCTAAAACCACATTACTAAATATCCTTTAAAATAAGATGAATGTAAATTTTGACCATAACATCAAATTTTAGGTAAGTGCAAGATTGTAGAGAATCTGATCATCACCATCATCATTTTCTTCAAAGAGAAAATCTCCAGCTTTGTTATCTGTAGAATTCAATAAAGGAATCAAAATTAATGTGAAAATGTAAACTTCGTATTCATTCCAGGACATGAACCAACAGTTGCTGATATTTGGATCTTTTTAAATACCTAGGAAATTTTCTCTTCCAATTCATAAAGTTAGAAGGGTAAATAGGAAGTTAAATAAGTATTCATGCCAATAATATATAAATAGAACTATATACTATATAACCAAGTGGAATTTAACCCAAGTATGCAAGGTGTTTAACTTGCAGATGATATGATAGATATATAGAAAATCCTAAAGACTCCACCAAAAAGCTACTAGGAACTGATAAATGAATTCAGTACAATTGTAGGATACAAAATCAATATACAGAAATTCATAACATTTCTACACACTATGTAGCAGAAAAAGAAATTAATAAAATATTTACAATTGCATCAAAATTAATAAAATACCTAGGAATAAACCTTACCCAAAGAGGTGAAAGACCAGAACTCTGAAAAATTATAAAACGCTGAAATTGAAGATGGCATAAACAAATGGAAAGATATTCCATGCTCATGGATTGGGAGAACAAATATTGTTAAAATGTCCATACTACCCAAAACAACCTATGGATTTAAAGCAATCCCTATCAGAATACCAACAGCATTTTTCACAGAACCAGAACAAATAATCCTAAAATTTGTATAGAACCACAGAAGACCCCGAATAGCAAAGCAGTCTTGAAAAAGAAGAACAAACCTGGAGGTATCAGAATCCCAGATATCAAGATATACTACAAAGCTGTAGCAATCAAAACAGTATGATACTGGCATAAAAATAGACACGAAGATCAACAGAACAGAAATAAACCCATGATTAAGTGATCAATTAATCTTTGACAAAAGAGTCGTGACTATGCAACCGGAAAAAGCCTCTTCAACAAGTTGTTGGGAAAACTGGACAGCTACATGCAAAAGAATGAAATGGGACTGCTTTCTTAAACCATATACAAAAATAAACTCAAAATGGATTAAGGACCTAAATGTGAGACCCGAATCTACAAAAACCCTAGAAGAGAGCACAGGCGGTAATTTTTCTGACATCAGTCATAAAATATTTTTCTAGATATATCTTCTGAGGCAAGGAAAAGAAAGCAAAAATAAACTATAGAGACTACATCAAAATAAAAAACTTCAGAGCAAAACAAAACAACAACAATGAAAAACCACAATCATCAAAGCAAAAAGACAACCTACTGAATGGGAGAAGATATTTGCAAATAACACATTTGATAAAGGGTTACTATCCAAAACACATAAAGAATTTATATAACTCAATGCCAAAAAAACCCACAAAAAATCCAATTAAAAATAGGAAGAAGACATGGACAGACATTTTTCTTTTTTTTTAATTTTTTTTATTTATTTATGATAGTTACACACAGAGAGAGAGAGAGAGAGAGAGAGAGAGAGAGGCAGAGACATAGGCAGAGGGAGAAGCAGGCTCCATGCACCGGGAGCCCGATGTGGGATTCGATCCTGGGTCTCCAGGATCGCGCCCTGGGCCAAAGGCAGGCGCCAAACCGCTGCGCCACCCAGGGATCCTGGACAGACATTTTTTCAAAGAAGACATTCATATGGCCAATAGACACATGAGAATATGCTCAACATCACTTATCATCAGAGAAATGCAAATCAAAACTTCAATGAGATATTACCTCACACCTGTCAGAACAGCTAAAATCAAAATTATAAGAAACATTAAATGTCGGTGAAGATGTGAAGAAAAAGGAACCCTCATGCACTGTCAGTGGGAATGCAAACTATTACAGCCACTGTGGAAAACAGTATGGAGGTTCTTTAAAAAATTTAAAATGGAATTATCATATGATCCAATAATTCCACTACTGGGTATTAACCTAAAGAATAGAAAAACACTAATCCAAATAAATTGCTTGCACCCCTATGTTGATGGTAGCATTATTTACAATAGCCAAGATATGGAAACAGTCCAAGTGTCTATCAATAGATAAATGGATAAAGAAGGTAAGTCATAAATATACAACGGAATACTACTCAGCCTTAAAGAAGAAGAAAATCTTGCCTTTTGCAACAACATGGTTGGTTCTACAGGGCATAATGCTAAGTGAAATAAGTCAGTCAGGGAAAGACAAATACCATATGATTTCACTCGTAGGTAGAATTTAAGAGATAAAACAAATGAACAAAGTTAAAAAGAGAGACAAACCAAGAAAAAGACTCTTAACTATGGAGAACAAACAGATGGTTTCCAGAGAAGTGGGTGGAGGGATGGGTGAAACAGGTGAAGAGGATTAAGAGTACACTGTGATGAGCACTGAGTAATGTACAGAATTGTCAAATCACTATATTGTACACCTACAGCTAATATAACACTGTATGTTAATTTTACTGGAAATAAAATTTTAAAAAATTAATTAATGTAACCTATCACATTAACAGACTGTAACGAAAGTCACATGATCATATCAATAAATGCAGAAAAGCATCTGACAAAATCCAACACCTATTCATGATAAAAACTCTCAGTAAACTTAGAAGGAAACTTCCTCAAGTTGATAAAGAACAGCTACTAAGTATCTACAACTAAAAAAAAAAAAAAAATCTACAACTAACATCATACTTACCAATGAAAAATTAGAAGCTTTCTCACTAAGATCAGGAGCAAAGCAAGGATCTCCCCTCTTTTTTAATATTGTACTGGAGGTTCTAGCTAAGACAGGAAGGGAAGGAAAGAAGAGGGCAGGGGAGAGGGGAGGGAATGGGTAGGGAGGAAAAGGTATATGGTTTGGGAAGGAAGAAATAAAACTGTCTTCACAGATGATCATCTAAGTAGAAAATCTGAAAGAATTAACAACAACAAAATAACCTCCTGGAACTAACAAGCAATTATAACAAGGTTGAAGGGTACAAGGTTAATATACAAAAGTCAATCTGTCTCCTGCACAGCAGCAATGAACAAGTGGAATTTGAAATTAAAAACAAAATACCATTTACAATCAAACCCCCAAAACACTTAGGTATAAGCTAACAAAATATGAATAAGATCTCTACAGGGAAAACTACAAAACTCTGATTAATAAAATCAAAGAACTAAACAAATGGAGAGATATTGTATGTTCAATACTGTCAAGATGTCAGTTCTTCCCAACCTGATCTATAGATTCGATGCAATCCCAATCAAAATCCCAGCAAGTTATTTTGTGGATTATCAACACAAGTTTCTTGCATTCTAAGGTTTGTATGGAGAGGTAAAAGGCCCAGAACAGCCACACCAATTTTAAGAAAAAGTTGGAGGACTGACATTACTCAACTTCAAGATTCACTATAGAACTATAGGAATCAAGATAGCATGATATTGGTCAAAGAACAGAGAAATAGATCCACGGGACAAAAGGAGGCCCAGAAATAGATTCCCCCATAAATACAGTCAAGTGGCCTTCAACAAAGGAGCCAACATAAAACAATGGGGCCAAGCATCATCTTTTCACCTACCTGTGCTGGAATAACTGGATATTTACATGTAAACATTGATTTAGACATAGACCTCATACCCTTCACAAAAATTAACTCAAAATGGACACTAGACCTAGATATAAGATGCAAAACTATAAAACCCCTAAAAGATAACATAGGAGAAAACCTAGATGACTTGGGTACGACAATAACTTTTCAGATACAACCAAAGGTACAATCCATGAAAAAAAATTGATAAGATGGACTTAATTAAAATTAAAAACTTCTGCTCTGTGAAAGACAATGTCAAGAGACTAGAAAGATAAGTCACAGACTGGGAGAAAATATTTGCGAAGACATATCCGATAAAGGGCTGTTATTCAAGATATATAAAGAACACTTAAAATTCAACAATAACAAAACAACCTGATTTAAAGATGGCCCGAAGACCTTAACAGACACTTCACCAAGAAGATACACAGATGGCAAATCAATATATGAAAAAATGTTCCATATCATATGTCATCAGGGAAATGCAAATTAAAACAAGATACCACTACACACCTATTAGAATGGCTAAACTCCAGAATACCCACAACACCAAATGCTGGTTAAGGACATGGAGAAACAGAAATTTTCACTTACTGCTGGTGTGAATGCAAAAAGATACAGTCCCTTTGGAAGATAATCAGGCTGCTTCTTACAAAACAAAACAGACTCTTACCATACCATCCATCAATTGTGCTTCTTGGCATTTATCCAAAGGAGTTGAAAACTTCTGTTCACACAAAAACCTGCACATAGATGTTTATAACAGCTTTCTTCATAATTGCTAAAACTTGGATACAAGCCATGAAAAGACACCACAGAATCTTAAATGCATATTACTAAATGAAAGAAGCCAGTCTGAAAAGGCTATAGGATTGCTGTAGGATTCCAACGTTCTGACATAGGCAGGACTATCCTAGAGACAAGAGGATCAGTGGTTGCCAGGGGGTGGGAGTGGGAGGTCGGGGTGGAGATGAATGGGCACAGGACAGAGGGTTTTTAGGGCAATGAAACTTCTCGGTATGGTATTATAGTAACAAATATATGTCCTTATTATTTGTCCAAACCCACAGAATGAATGTACAGCACTAATAATGTGATGTGTGATGTAACCCTGAGTGATGGTGGTGTGTCACTGGGCGTTCAGCAGTCACAACACCTGTAGCACTCTGGTGGGGGATGTTGACAATGGGAGAAGCTATGCATGTGTGAGGCAGGGGTATATAGGAAATCTCTATGACTTCCTCTCAATGTTGCTCCAGTCCTAAAACTGCTCTTAAAAAACAAAGTCTAATACTAAGTAGATAAGCAAGCATGTATAGAGACGCAGCCGCATGTGTGTCTGTGGCCTCCCCTCACTTTCAACAGGTGAAAAGATGAGTGAAATGGGTCAGTAGGTCCCAGATACCAGCAGTTTCCTGGTTGCCCAGGAGCCAGCCCAGCCCTGCCTCTGCCCTGGGAGAGACCAACTCATGCCAGCTTTACTCAGCACATTCCATTCAGCACTTGCAGCTTCGGCTGCAAAGCTGACCTTCGGCTCCTCTGGATTCTGGGACGCCACACACTAACATAAGCGGGCTTTCTTGCCAAAGGGCCTGTAATGGGTATTTATTTTGCATCTATTCTTCCTCAGCTTATCCTTAGCCAGACTGACTTTGTCGCCCTCAGATTCCAGACTTTTTCTTCGCTAAGGCCAAATTTACATTGGTAGTTAGTAATAAGATCCTGTTTATTCTGACCAACTACACATCTATACCTCTCCCACCTCTCTGCATCGTAAGTGCATCCATCCTACCCTAACTTTATTGTCATTATTTCCTGCTGTCAATCTCATATTGGAATAGGCGACATTGCTCTACTTTGTCATGGTGAAAAGTTTATCCTGCAAATTTTCAGTTTCTTAGGTCTTCCGTGAATGGCTGTGCTTATCTCATGTGTGCTTCTAGGCATCTCCAGGGCTCTGCATTTTAACTTCGTACTTCTAAAAGCATCTGTACAGAGATAATATTAATGTTATTGCAACAGACAGGCAGAGCCTCATTTCTCTCTGCTTTCACTGAAAATGCCTGTTCGTAGTAAAAATGTGCAGACATTGGCATTTTTGTGTGAGGTCTGAACGTGTGTGGGTCCAGCCATTGGCGGCAGGAAGAAATAAGACACAGCTGCCAGATGGTTTGGTTTAAAAAAAAAATAGTCAAATTGACTGGCGATCCACAACCATTAAAATTATTTTCCCAAAGGATCCTTCATTCTGAAGCTGGAAAAAACTCCTAAATGCACTCTCAGTTACTTGACAGAGCGAGGAATTTAAAGGTCACTTAGCTCACCAAATAGCTACTTACCTAAACATGTTAGGTGTTTTATTTTATTTTTTTTTATGTTAGGTGTTTTAAATTCTGCATACAACTGCTGATCATATTCAAAAATTTTAAATACCTGATTTAGAATTCAGAGTAGAAAGTAGAAACTTAGAGTAGGAATGTAGAAAGTACCAGAAAGATAATCAGAGTCCGAGTTAAGTTTTTTGGTCTCTGCTGATAATTTATTACTCTTAATGCAGCCCTAAGCCTCAAGTTATCCCTCCGTATAATGGGGGTCTAAAAAAAATCTGCTCCAGCTAGGTCATAGTCGTAGGGTTGTCTACAGATCTTGGGATAAAAACGCATGAGAATGAACGCTATAGACTACCTAATGCTACAGAATCTAAACTGTTGCCATAATACTAAAAGAGAAGTTCCTGGAAAAACGACAACTTCCTAAGAATCTATGAACTGTCCTTGTAGAACCAGCCACTGGTTTTCTGTAGATCACCCACATCGCAA